CCCCCCCCCGCCCTCGGCCGTGGCCGCGTCCTCCGACCCCCAACACCGCGCTGGGCCCCGGCGCTGGGTCGGGAGCGTCTGCGGGGGACACGGAGCGCCCCTGGGCCGCGGGACCGGACTCCGGCTTCATTGCAGGTTAACGCTGCCTTGGCGGTGAGCGTGGCTCCAAAATACAAACAGACTTTGCAACATCTTGGGAGGGAGCCCGGGGGGCCGGGTGGTCAAGGGGATGATGGTCGCCTGACACACACGCAGATCCCTGCACGGTTTTCGAGAAACTTTGCAAGCCGTGTACGCGAGTGTACAGACAGTTTGGGCAGCGGAGACTGAACATGACTAACCAAGGTGTGTGGGCAGTTTTTTGTTTGTTTTTATTGAAGTACCGTCACTTACAACGTGTCGCTTCCTGGTGCCCACTGTCCCCAGCCACGCACATACGTGCAGATACTCATTTTCATATTTCTATATTCGTTTTCATTAAAGGTTACTACAAGATATGCAATATAGTTCCCTGTGCTGTCCAGAAAAAAAGTTTTTTAATCTGTTTTATATGTAGCAGTCTACATTTGCACATCTAAAACTCCCAAACTTACCCCTTCCCACCTTTTTTCTCGCAGGAACCCTAAGATTACCGTGTCAGTTGGGAGTTTCTGCTTTAGGGTAGGAGTTCTGAAACTTCTGGTTTCTGTGCCCAAATGCAGCCATTTGTCTGAATTATGGAAACAAAGTAACAAATATTACTTCTTACTGAATGATGCAAGCCGTATTGTTACGAGATTTCTAATTCCCTAAATGTTTCTTGGTTTGTTTGCTTTTGCTGGTGGGGTGTGAGTTGGTGGTAATTAGGGTTATTTATTTACTGTCACGGAGGTACTGGCTTGAACCCAGGACCTGGTGCATGCTAAGCACGTGCTAAGCACGTGCTCCACCATTGAGTCGGCCCTCCCCGGAGATTCCTCCTTCCCTCAGAGTACAGAGAGGCTCTAGAGAAGTGGTTGATTATATTTTCTTTTCACCTGGTTGGTTGGGTTTCATTAATTCTCCGGAGCACCCTTCACAGCTACGCTCCTATGTGGTAAACTTAAATACTCTTTCGTGCCCACGTAATACTCAGCAGTCTTGAGGCCAGCCTCCTCGCTGCCCTGAGCAGCTCCCCAACCCTTGCAAATCCCATTCTGTGTTTCAGAGAACCCTCTGCGGGATCTTAAGGGTTTTTTTTTCTTCTTTTTCCGTCTTTCAACTAATTTCCTTTAGAAATCTCCAAACGAGTACACGCCTGCACCAAATTGACACTCAGGGAACTTCCAGTAGGCAATTTGGTGCCTTGTTTTGATTGCAAATGAGGTGGGGCAGACGCCGCGTTCCTTTCCCCGGAGCTGTGCTGCGAACGGCACCGAGCTTGCAGGCACCCAGGAGGGAACTGGAGCGCCCCAAGCAGACACCTCCTTTCTCCTGGTTTCATGGGAATGAGAAGGTCCCCACTGAGGGCCCGCATGAATCTGGGCACGACAGGAAAATAAGGAGATGAGGCATCTTTCCAGGTAGTTAAACCCGTGCAGAAAACCCCAGTACCTAATTGATGCTGGAAGCCTCATCTTGGGTCTGCCTTGTCATCACGCCAGCCTGGGGTTCCCCCTGTTAACCTGGCATATCGGGGCGCAACTCCCCGAACGTTCCATCAGCAGCAGACGGTTTGGGAAAGGAAAAGGACATTCTTTCAGAAGTTTTATTTACTTTTTGATTGAGATAGTGTTGATTTACAGCATCATATTAGTTTCATGTGTACACCATAGTGATTCACAATTTCTTTTTAAAGCTTATACTCCATTTATAGTTATCATAAAATATTGGCTGTGTTCCCCGTATTGTACAATGTATCCTGCCAGCTTATTTATTTTATACATAGTTTGTCCCTCTGAATTTACTACCATCATTGTCCTTCCCCCCTTCCCTGCCCCCACTGGTCCCCACCAACATATTCTCTGCATCTGTGAGTCTGCTTCTGTTTTGTTCTACTCACTCGTTAGTTGTATCTTTTTAGATTCCACATGTAAGTGATACCATATAGTATTTGTCTTTCTCTGCCTGATTTATTTCACTCAGCATAATACCCTCTCCAGGTCCATCCATGTTGCCACAAATGGCATCATTTTACTCTTTTTCACGGCAGAGTAGTATTCCATTGTATAAATACACCACATCTCCATTCTTCATTCTTCTGCTGATGGACATTTAACTTGCTTCCATGTCTTAGTGGTTTTAATAATGCTGCTATGAACATGAAGGTGCATGTATTTTTTTTTGTACCAAATTTTGAGCTTACATACCTCGAACTCTGCATTTTAACTCACACAAGAGCCACTCTTGTGAGATTATGACTAGGTCTTTCAGCTTTAATAAACGCTTGGACTTCTTATGGTTTTGGCCTATGGAGCCAAGCTCATCTCTTCCAGTTTGCTTAGCAATATTGGAATTTCTGATTTGCAGGTGGTAAAAATTCAGGCTGACCGTGCTGCTTCCTTTGGGTGAGAGAGACGGATGTCGGAATGCAGACGTGTCCTCCAGGTGTCCTCTCCCGGAACCAATTTTCTTCGACTTTGGGTTTGAACGTCAAGAAAAGGACAGCCCACGACAAATACGGACGTGTGAGTAAGAGAAAGGAAACTTAGAAAATCTTAAAGTGTCAGCAGAGGTAAACAAAACAACGTGTTTCCAGCATGGAAAGCAGGCCCGTTTTATTGAAAATCAGATTTAACTAGAATTACTTTTATGAGACCTACTTTGATTACTTCCCAACCATATTTGATAACTCGGTATGAAAACCCCTAGGTGTCGTGAACCGTGTTTTCCTGTGATCACCCTAAACGTGCATCCATTCAGGAAACATCCGCTGTGGCTGGATATGAATTATCGAGTCCTAGGACAGAGGAAGAATCACGGCCGGAACGTCCCAAACTCCACAGACTGCCTCTTTCCTGCACGCGCCACCCAGATGGAAAACCCCGAAGAGCCTCAACCGTCTTGATTTTCAAATCCGCTCTGATTTACTCTGCTGTAGAAAGAGCACGACAGAGAATTCATCTTCTTTGCAGAATCAGGTGGCGGGTCTGTGGGCTCTTCCCTCTGGCTGGCTGTCAGGAACCATCCCGTCGGCAGCACTGATTTGTGGAGAATCTAAATTTGAGTTCGCAGGCGTGGTTCTCCCACCCCCGGGTTCCATGAGGCTGAGACTGTCTGCTTGTTCTGCAAGGGGTCGACGTGTGAAACAAGGTAACCAGAGCTCTGTCTTCCTCACCTGCGCTGCTCAGGGGAGCCTAGGCTGTACTGCAACCCCAGAATCTCAGAGCATTTGTGCGCCGCCCCCCCCCCCGAAGACTGATCTTTCCTCACCGTCTTCCCGGTGGGAATGCAGACGTCTTAGCTCACGATGCCTTCACTGTAAAGTCTGACCTTCTCAGTTACCACAGGAGGACACGGACACTGATGTGGGCTGCACGCCCCTCACGTTTGCACTGTGACACTGGATGTGTTCCACAAGGCATGCTGGGAAACGTGGGTGCGAGATGCAGGGACCAGTGGGTACCACTGTCTCTGCCCCAAACTCTCACATCTGCTGACCCCAGTCAAACACCAAAACAAATGCTTATCAATAGTAATTTTACCCACTTCATGGGAGAGACCTGGGTATTCTGTATGAATTGGGGTTAACAGCCATACGGACCACGATGGTAGGACAAGAAACCAAAGATGGTAGCTATGTGGACTCCTGGTCCAAGCAGATGCTAGGTGTATGCGCAATGCAGGGAAAAGTTCTAGACAAGAAAACTAAGGGTTAAAAGGAATTGGGCATACGCATACAATGGCTCCTATTTTTTTTTAATTGAGTTATAGTCAGTTTACAATGTGTCAATTTCTGGTGTACAGCACAGTGCTTCAGTCATACATGAACATACATATATTCCTTTTCATATTCTTTTTCACTGTGACCTAATAGAAGATCTTTAACATATTTCCCTGTGCTATACGGTATAGTCTTGTTTATCTATTCTACATTTCGAAATCCCAGTCTGTCCCTTCCCAACCCCCGCCCCCTTGGCAACCACAAGTTTGTTTTCTATGTCTATGAGTCTGTTTCTGTTTTGTATTTTGGTTTTTTTCTTTTTAGATTCCACATGTGAGCGACCTCATATGGTAATTTTCTTTCTCTTTCTGGCTTACTTCACCTAGAATGACATTCTCCAGGTCCATCCATGTTGCTGCAAATGGCATTATTTTATTCTTTTTTATGGCTGAGTACTATTCCATTGTATAAACATACCATGTCTTCTTCACCCAGTCATCTGTTGATGGATACTTAGGCTGCTTCCATGTCTTGGCTATTGTAAATAGTGCTGCTATGAACACTGGGGTGCAGGTGTCATTTTGAAGTAGGGTTCCTTCTGTATATGTGCTCAGGAGCAAGATTCCTGGGTCCTATGGTAAGTGTATTTCTAGTCTTTTGAGGACTCTCCATAGTGTTTTCCACAGGGGCTTCACCAGACTGCCTTCCCACCAGTAGTGTAGGAGGGTCCCCTTTTCTCCATAGCCTCTCCAGCATTTGTCGTTTGTGGACTTTGGAATGATGGCCATTCTGACGGGTGTGAGGCGATACCTCATTGTAGCTTTGATATGCATTTGTCTGATATTTAGTGATATTGAGCATTGTTTCATCTGTTTATTGGTCGTTTGTATGTCTTCATTGGAGAATTGCTTGTTTAGTTCTTCTGCCCATTTTTGGATTGGGTTTGTTTTTTCTTATTAAGCTGTAAGAATTGGTTATATATTCTGGAGCT